AGAGGGGAGCGCAGGGGGGAGGGGGGAGGGGAAGACAGACCTCCAGGATGTAATGAAGGCCTCTCCTGTTTACCTGACGCTAAAACCACTGAAACCACAACTCCATTCAGACCCCGGTACTGTCGGAGGGGCAGGAAGAAATCGAAATTTCCCTCTACCTCAGGAGAGGAAGCTGAGGTGGGGGCGTCCATGGGGGCAGGAGGCAGGAGATGAGGTTCAGGTTTACACCCTGGGCAGGGAGCAGGGAGGGCGGTGCCCCTGTGGTCCCCCAAGCACCCAAGGACCATCAGCGAATGGAACCGGAATTAATGTTTTAACGAATGGAGATAGAGTTTGGCTTAGTCTTGACCAGCTGAGTAGAGAATGGCTGGATTGCCAGTAAGAGAAACCAGATCCCTCTCTTCCTCATCTTCTCAGTTCCATCTCAGCTCTTCCGCAGCAGGACCGGCACCCCTTCAGACCTTCTCCTGAATTCTCTCATCTCCTAGGAGGCTCCACCCACCTCTCCTCACAAGCCCAGCTGTGCCCTGACCATCCCCCATGAAAGCATCCAGGGTGCCCCCTCAGCTCAGGATGGAGGAGGGTGGTGACTTGCTGAAGGCAGATCTTGGAACATCCCCATATCTGGGTCTTCCAGGTTAGTGCCAGAGCAAGAATTTCCCTTTGCGTACCGTAGCACTAATAATAATAATAATAATAATAATAATAAAAGATAAATTGTTGCACCATCAATCACAAGGCTGTGGGTTGCCCCCACCTGGCCCCTCCCACTGTGGCCCCAGTCCCCTGTCTGCCAGCAGCCGCTCCCACGCGCTGACAGCGCCGGCCCCACTTGCACCCACTGAAGGCGTGGAGTGATTGGGGCTGGTGCTGTCAGTAGGTGTGAGCAGCAGCTGCTGCCCTGATCACCCCTCAGGAGCAGGGGGAGGTGGAGAAGCCCTCATGGGCGATCAGGGTCTGCAGCCACTGTTCACACCCACTGACGGCACAGAGCGAGTGGGGCCAGCACCAACAGCAGGTGCAAGCGCCGGGCGGGACTGTGGTGCGTGGGAGAAAACAATTTTCAGTAACCATCAGAGGCTCACCCCAATGGCACCTTGGTCTGTCGCCCCCGCTCACCTGCTCCACTATCCCGCCTTGGCCAACGCCTGCCATGTTCCACACATACCCCTTTGTGGTCAGCACACGTCATAGCGATCGGTTATTCCGTCGTTCCGCCATTCAGTCTATTTGCATAGTAGCCTTTTATTATATAGGATTTTATTGATTTCAAAGAGGAAGGGAGAGGGAGAGGGAGAGAAACATTAATGATGAGAGAGAATCCTTGACCTGCTGCCTCCTGCACATCCCCTTACTGAGGATCAAGCCCGCAACCTGGGCATATGCCTTCGACTGGAATCAAACCTGCTACCCTTCAGTCCACAGGCCAATGCTCTATCTACTGAGCCAAACCAGCTAGGGCTGTCACCTGGAGTTTTAACATTTTGATGCCCCAGGCCAGGTAAGCTATGTCTCTGGGAGTGGGACTTGGGCACCAATGTGTTTAAAGCTCCTAAGGGACCCTGACTGGTGTGGATTAGTGGTTAGAGCGTTGGCCCACTGAAGGGACGCAGGTTGGATTCCCAGTCAAGGTCATGTACCTGGGTTGCATGTTCCACTCCCTGCCCCAGTTGGGGTGGATGTGGGAGGCAACCAGTCCATGTGTCTCTCACACAGATGTTTCTCTCTCTTTGCCCCTCACTTCCTCACACTCTCTAAAAATCAATGGAAAAAATATCCTCGGGTAAGGATTCACAACAACAAAAAGTTCCCAAGGGATTTTAAGGTGCAACTCTCGGTCAAATTTCTGCTGAGGAGTCGATGGACTCAGATAATATATTGCTGTCATTATTGAGACCAGACCTAGACTTTATTTCGTGAAAATAAAATTCAAACTCACTGTATCGTATTCCACCTAAAAAAAATCAAGTGCTATAAAAAGAAAGATTTTTTAAATGGTCGCCATTGTTTTTTATAGTAAATGAATACAGTATCTGCCCATAATTTTGCGTGTAAAAATATTTTTTTAAGCATTGTTTGATGCTATACTTGAAATTCCTCTAAATAAACAGGAAATAACTCTAAACGAATGCCGTTTTTAAATTGTTGTCACAGTGAACAACTTGCAAGAGACACACTTGCGTCAGATCAAAGATGGGGTTCACTCAGGGGCACCCGTAGGACTGGGAGAGGCTGGGTGTCCACATACCTGTTGTGATGCCTTCTGGCCAGCAGGGGGCACCAATACGCCACTGCTGCAGAGCTGGAGACCTTGGGTGAGACGGGAGAGCTGTTCCACATTCAAGCGGGGGAAATAGACACGGGGGTGACATTACCCTAGTATTTGTTTCCTCTGGTATCACTCAAAACTAAAACCAAACAGCTGGGAAATGCTAATTTGGCAAGCATTTGGGTCCACGGCAGGTGGGAATTTAAGTTGAAACAGCCCCCTTGGAACACTGAGTAAACCCTGACGCACCCACGGCTTGATGGACCCGCCGTTCCAGTGCTGGGCGCTCACCCAACAGAAATGTCCACCAAGAGACACACAAGAAGGCACATTCAAACGCGCATTGCGGATTATCAGCCCAAACTAGAGACTTCCCAGGTGCCCATGAACGATGTAATGAACCAAGTAAATTTCGGAACAATCACCCAATAAAATACTCTATGTGAGCGCAAAACACTTGAGATGGTGAGATGTACCATCTTAACAAACTGCAAACGCACAATACGGTATCGTTAACCAAGGGTACAGCGTGGGTACACTTCTGCAGCGGTCTCTAGAAGTTTTCGTCTTGTATAACGGGAACTTTGTACCCTTTGAACAGCAACTCCCCTTATCCCTCCCCCAGCCCTTGGCAACCACCATCCGACTCTCTTTCCAGGCGTTTGGCTTTCGGGTTCCTCGCCTAAGTGAAACCAGGCACTATTTGTTCTTCTGCCTGGCTTATTTCACTCAGCACAGGGCCTCCAGCTTCATCCATGTTGTCGCAATGGGCAGAATTCCTTTCCCGAACACTTGATAATCCTCCATTGCTGTAGAGATCACATTGCCTGTACCCATTCATTGTCGAACGTGTTCCGGGATAGAGCACCTGTTAGGCTACAGCAGTGTTTTAAACAGGGGAAAACTTGGGAGGGAGGGAACCCAGATTCATCCCCAGGAGAAGGGATCATGAAAATATGACTCAAGACTAAATATTAAGCCAGTTATATAAGCAACATGGGTGAAAACCACATATAAAATACTGAATTCAAATGTTAGTTGATGAATGCATTATACAGCATGTCATTTATCTAAGATCTAAAAGCCTCCATAGATACCACATATTGTTTATGGCCAAACACCACATAGTAAGAGAATAGTGTGAGGTGAGGAATTATACACTGCAAGGTCATGATAATAATAACCAATTGGGAAGATATTTAACTTCTGTCATTTAATTTTTTTAAAAAATGTATTTTATTGATTTTTTACAGAGAGAAGAAGGGAGAGGGATAAAGAGTTAGAAACATCAATCAGCTGCCTCCTGCACACCCCCTACTGTGGATGTGCCCGCAACCAAGGTACATGCCCTTGACCAGAATCAAACCTGGGACCTTTCAGTCTGCAGGCCGATGCTCTATCCACTGAGCCAAACTGGTTAGGGTTGTCATTTAATTTTTTATTTTTATAAAAAAAAATTTGGCATAGCTTTGGGTAATACTTGCATTCTGTATGTATAAAATATTTTTTAAAAAGCTGGGATGCCATGCAGTGAATTATAGGTATCCTGGTAATTTTTAAAATTTTATTATTTATTGATTTCAGAGCAGAAGGGAGAGGGAGCGAGAGAAACATCAATGATGAGAAACATTGATCAGCTGCTTCCTGCATGGCCCCTACTGGGAATTGAGCCCAAAACCTGGGCATGTGCCCTGACCGGGAATCAACGGTGACCTCCTGGTTTATAGGTTGATGCTCAACCACTGGACCACACTGCCTGGACTACCCTAATAATTTTTAACAGTCAAGTCGTCAAAGTTCAGAAAGCGGATGATTCAAAGCTCCAGGATGAAGTAACAGGTTTTATGCAATTGCCAGCAGTCATTCACATGTACACAGGCAGGAGAACAAATATTTCTCTCCGTACGCTCTGGACGTCTTTGAGCATTATTCCCATGGGAACAGCTCTGGAGGGAGGCCTGCCATCTGCTCCCAGAATATCCTGTCGAAGACTTCAGCTTGGGCCACTGTGAAGTGATTTTTCCAGTCTCCAGAAATGCCTGGCAAACATAGAATAGAGACTCATATCAGATGGAGGGGTAGGTCTCAAGGCCCCAAGACATCTCCTTCCCAACCTATCCCTCCCTCCCCTTGACATGGAAATTGCAGCTAATATAGCAGAAAGGCCAGTGGGTCATGGTGGGCCTTGGACTGCCTGCAGTCTTACCCATTTACACGTTCACCTCGTCTGGAAACTATTTCCTACCTTCTCCTCTCTCCCAACCTACCATGTATACAATTCATCAGTGATACAGCAGCCCTGTGTTCTGATGCAGCCAGAAGCGTGACACTTCTCACCACTTCTCTTGCTACCACCTTGGCCCCAGCCAACATCATTTCTCACCTGGATTATTGTATTAGACTTCTAATAAGTCTCTCTGTTTTGAGTCTGTCTCCTTTATAAGCTTCCCTCAGCACATCAGCTACCTAGATTCCTAGAGAAACAAGATGACCTGATTCCAGATCATGTCACTTCCTGCTCCACTTCTCCAAGGACTTGAGGTTTCACTCAGTGAATGTGCTTATGGCTCCCAGGGGGCTTCTGGTGATTTGGTCCCCGCCCAGTTCTCTGACTTCAGAGAGGAAGGGAGAGGTAGAGAGAGATAGAAACATCAATGATGAGAGAGAATTACCGATGGACTGGCCCCTGCACACCCCGCACTGGGGACCTTGACATCAGAAGCCATGCTCTTAATTTATTATTATATTATTTTTATATCATATAAATTAATACTTCGATGTTATATTAATATCTTAACTAAATTAATAAATTGATTAAATTAATATACAACAGAATAATATAAAATCGCATATAAGTTAGTAATATATATTACATATTTATATGCATAGAAATCATATAACAGAATGTCTAACAAATAATTGGTACCCTATAACATCTGCTGTTACTCTTGTGTTCATCACCTTCATTACTAGAACAATTTTTATTATACTAGATTCTTATCCTCCGTATCACACCTGACTTGGAGTGAGCCAGATTGAGCTCTTGAGGGACCAGAATCTCTGTAAATTCAATATGGCTACCCTGGATGCAGCATCAGATCGAGAGAATGTTTCTGTGCAGGTGAACCTGCGGAACCAAACATGTGGTCTGCTTCCCAAATACAAGGGTATGGTCCTGGCCGGGTAGCTCAGTTGGTTAGAGCATTGTCCCAATATGCCAAGGTATGGGTTGGATCCCTGGTTAAGACACAAGAATCAAGCAATGGCACTGGCCAGTATGGCTTAGTTGGTTGGGCATCGTCCTGTGCACCAAAAGGTTGCCAGTTTGATTTCTGGTCAGGGCACATGCCTCCTTTATAAGCTAGGTTGGAGGCGTGGTCCCCAGTGGGTGCATGCGGGAGGCAGCCGATCAATGTTCCTCTCTCTCTCTCTCTCTCCCTCACCTGTCCTCTCTCTCTAAAAATCAATTTTAAAATCTTTTTAAAAACATCAACCAATGAATGCATAAATAAGTGGAAAAACAAATCAATGTTTCTCTCTCTCCCTTCCACTCTCTCTAAAAGCAATAAATAAACATTTTAAAAATTACAATGGGCCCTGAGAGGTGTGGCTCAGTCGGTTGGAGTGTTGACCCAAACACCAAAAGGTTTTGGACTCTATTCCCAGTCAGGACACATACGTAGGTTTTGGGTCCAATTCCCCAGTTGGGGCACATACCAAAGGCAACCAATCAGTATTCTCTCTCACATCATTGTTTCTCTCTCCTTTCTCCTCTCTCTAAAACAGCGGTTCTCAACCTGTGGGTCGCGACCCCTTTGGGGATCGAATGACCCTTTCACAGGGGTCGCCTAAGACCATCGGAAAACACATATATAATTACATATTGCTTTTGTGATTAATCACTATGCTTTAATTATGTTCAATTTGTAACAATGAAAAGACATCCTGCAGTAGGAAAATTACAGTTATGAAGTAGCAATGAAAATAATTTTTTGGTTGGGGGTCACCACAACATGAGGAACTAACTGTATTAAAGGGTCGCGGCATTAGGAAGGTTGAGAACCACTGCTCTAGATTGGAAGGATGGAGAGAATCAGCCTCTTTGTCTTGATGCTCTGACCTCCTGGCCCACTGGGGTGGTGGCCCCCATCCCTTCTGCCCTGGGTGGTGGCCCCACCTATTCGAGGTCTTTTGAAGCATTTAATTTCTTTCTTCCATGGGTCATCCTGGATATACTTGAACTACAGGGCTCTGGGGAAATGGGCTCCTCCTCTTCCATGCAGTGGACATACTTCACTCATCTTTAGCCCAAAGATATGAACACGATTAATCATTCCCCACAGGGTCTGATCCCAAGACAGGCTCTCAGCGAAGAGAAAAGTCTCTCCTCTCTCATCTCTCTTCTCTCCAGTTGAGTCATTGTTTATACATTTTGTTGTTCAGAATCGTTCTCTATGCTAACTCAGCCATGTGGTGGCACCAACATGACCAACGCACTCCTGTCCTCACTTCCCAGGACCATCACAGCTGGCAGGTTGGCAGGCATGGAGAATTCACCGGGGCACCACTAGCAGAGTGGATCTCCCCCACACCAAATTCGTAGAAGGGAGAATCTGAATGACCTGCCTAAGTCAGATGACCATTCCGGGTCTAATCAACTTCCTCCAAGTGTCTGCAGCCCACATCAGTGCTCTGAAAAGAGACTCCCTGATAAGAGCATGTGAGAAGTTCTCCGGGTGGTGAACAGTCAAGGTTGACAAGTTCAAACACTCCTTAGTCCCAGCT